CACTGTGTTTTATGCTTGTTTGGACTGCTGCTGTGCCTTTGTGTTTTACCACCAAGATGGATTATCTGGCAAAGTTTTCACTATTTCAAGAAAGATGTCTCATAGTTGAACTGGGCGGTGCTAAAGTGTGCAAAAAAAAGTTACTGGGACCACTGCATGCCTGACTGAACCATATTTCACTTTGTAAAATTTAAAAAAATGGCAAACAATATTTCCATTTCTCTATAGGTCTTTATGAAGTTAAATGAAATATGGATTGTAAGTGGAAAGATTAACTTGAAGGGGATATAAGTAAGCTGTACAATGAATATTTAAAAGAAAGGAAACAAAAAGATAGGTTTTCTTTAATCTTGCTTTTGCTGAATATTGAACATTAGTGGTCAAGTTTCTGAGGCGAGCATTATTGGCCACTCAACAGTGATGAAGTTAATTTCATTAAAAACTTGGAATATTGCTGCTGGTCCAAATTGTATATCTAACGTTGGTACATTTACAAAAATTACACATGTGAACATGTTTTTTTTTATACTTGATTTTAAAAAACGCTTCAAACTCTCAGTCACAGTCAAATTCTTACTCAACCCACTTCTACTAAACTTTGGTAACATAAGAAAACACCTGTGAAAAGCTACTGTGCGAACAGAGCGAGACAATTTATCACTGTACTGATTATGTCCTGTCCTGTAGTGTTATCTGTTCAACTGCGTTGACAGGTATTAAAAATAACTAAATAGACCAAAAATCAATCCCCTTTCTGATGGTCTTGTTTGCTCTTGCAGGTCATAGAGGTATCAGTGTTGGTTTCAGTTTGCCCTAGCTTTAATTTTTAGGTTTTGGTTCCAGAGGGGTTTTTTAGTATCAGGTTCTTCAGACACATTCCCTTCAGTACTGAAAAGGTCAAAAAGCTTTGGTCTTGAAGAGTCTATCTTTTGGGGGACTTTCATGTCAATACAACAAACTGATCTCACTTCAATCAACCAGTTACAGGGAGTGGTTTCATTTTCTACAGAGCTGACCAAACCAGGAGAATTTCTGCCAGCGTTAAATACAAGAGGGTTCGCATGAAAAGTTGACCACTGGTAAACATGATGGAGACAGTCTTAGTGCTTCCTGCCTTTTACCCAACTGAAACTTTCTGAAAACTTCTGCCAGCAACAATCAAAAGTCCGAGACATTTATGCTGAGCCTTTGGAAGACATCATTATTTTGGTACACTAAATTAAAAAAAATAATTTAAATGCACAGAGAGTAAACTGTCTGCTCTTGATGGTGGCAAAAAAGGTTGGTCTTGTGTACGGCAGGTAGCTTACATGCACAGTAATGACTACAACAAAGGCATTAAGAGTGATAAAAACAGTATGTTTCTAACTTTGGTAATTAATAAAAAATGACAATGTGTTATTTGTGTTACAAAAGACTGAAGTTTGTGTCCGCTGAGCATACTGTTCAAAATTAAGTCCCTATTTTGTCAAATCTATCACTTTTTTGCACATTAAATAATTTGAATCTCTTTTGCATCTGAAGAGTCAGCTCCACTTTCTCTAAAAAAATGAAGTCAATCAAAGTATTTTGTTGTCAGAGCTTTGAGTCAGAAATCTGAAGGGATTAAATTTGGGGTCCATACCAAATATGATTTGACTGGAATTGACCGCTTTGTAAGAAAAAGGTTTAACGGTGCTTGAGCAACATGTATGTCATCTGTACTTAAGTTTGAGAGGAATCCACAAGAAAAGCACAGAAAGTTACAACGAAGTTGAACTTTTAGGAGAAAACTTTGAAGTTATGATTGTTGTTAGCTCCAATGCCACTTGTTGCATCAACAACAGGATTCGGTTAATGATCTAGAAAACTACAAAACCTGTGGCTGCCAATACACGTGATCGCTGTCATATGGACAATAACTATCCATTGCAAACTTATAATCAGCCATGGGGAGCATAATTGCGCCCACCCAACGCCCCGAGGTTCATCAAGCCTGCAGTGCCTACTGTACCTACCCAAAAATCTCAACCACACAGAGCAGAAAATAGTAAATAGAGCAGAGAAAGCTTTTTGAAGAGGCTGTTAAGAGCTTAACTCATTCTCTAATTATAGATCTCACTTGCTCTCTTTTGAAGGGAACTGTAAATGGGAACACGCCAAAGTTTTTAGATTACTACAAGTCTCATAAAAGATGAGGAAAAGCGACCACTCTGCAGCAAAATGGGCGCAGTTTACCTCCCCTCTCATTTCACTTAAATGTAAAACATAAAGCCCTGATGAACTCTAAGAAGAAAAGGAACAGTTCAATTAAAAGACTTAGAGCAGAAACACACCATGTGTTTAATGAAAGGGAAGGGAAATGCCAAAGAAAGTGTGAAAATAATGCCACACAACACATCTGTGGGGTTTGTGATAGATAGATAGATAGACAGACAGACAGACAGACAGACAGACAACCCTAATTGATAGGACAGTAAAGAGGAATGTCCTTGCTGTGTGCTGCAGTGTATATCACACAAGACAGGTAACTTGTAATGTAATATCAACATGAAACTGTTATAACAAGCAGAGAAGAGGCATCTAGTAAAGCCATGAAACAGAACAAGAACTTGTTACAATGAACTAGTAAACATTGCCTTTGTTAGAGGAGATTCCGTGCAAAACAATATTCCCAATCAACTTGAATTTGACATTGAAGGTCAAGTTAATGTTCATTACTTCATGATGTAAGGTTCAGTTAACTTTACAGAGAAATAGCTGGTAGAAATGTCCTTCAGAGGTATACCTTTCCCTAAAATCCATTGGCACATTACAGAGCAGGTATTGATTTTTTGTTTACTTTTATCTGAAATAAACTGGAGATTTGATGGCTTATTAAATATACTTCAATGTATACTGATGCCTCTAAAGTACCTGCAAAAACAAATGATCTTCACCAATCATTTGCTTTTGTAGCGACGAGACTGACTATTTCTATATTGTAATTTTGAATGCCTGGCTGAAACTGCTAGTGAAAGACCGATATAGATAGAGAGACAGATAGTTAGATAGATAGATGTGTTTAAAGGTATACTGTATGTTTCTGTGGGAGTAGGAGACAGTGTAAAGTGCAGCATGTTTCAGCAGCCTTTGTTCTTCTCCTCACACATGCTCTGGAATAAGAAAATAAAGCAATGAAGGTCAGTCGGAGAGCAGACTGCCAAATATAGCTGCTGTGTTCATGTGAGGGCCAGACTCTCCAGAACGACAAGCCCAGCTCTGACCATGCCCTGTAATTGAGGAGAAAATAAGGATAGAAATTATATGTTTATTTTTGACAACAATTTTAATCTTCTGTGCTCTCCTTCAGAAAACGAGACGCCCACAAAAAATCTGTCTCACTCAGGACAGAAAGTTTGGTTCCTTCACAAACGGAATTCTTAAATGAAGTTCTTCTAATCCTGATTAACCTGAAACTCTGACAGTGAAAACCAAACTACACTCTCTTGGAATGTATCTGTTGTTTATAAATATCATAGAATTGTATTAAATCTTATTTAATGAGATTTCTTCAAACTTGCAAAACAAGAATTGTCACTTATGTAGTTTTATAACTGTACAAAAAGGATGCAGTGGTAGTCTCTCCTATTTATTGTGACAATGATTTTAAGAGTGTATGAGAAAATGCTGTTTTGAATCTATTGTAAGCTTTTTAATCTAACTTTCTTTGATACTTTTTTGTCTAACTTCTTGCACGCAAAGAAAATGTGTCTGCAAAAAAGCCAAACTTCGATAGATTCAGATAGTTATTTTGTATCTAAGGAATAGAAAGATAAATTAATTCTCAAAGGTTTTTCATCATTCTAAAGTTTTAAGGAATAATCAATATTTGTTTGATTTGAAAACTTTTTAAAACAAAGTTTAAAAACAACCATAAGCTAGCATCAAAAGGTAGTTTGGATTTCTTTTTTTTTACAATGTGTTAGTCAAATGAGATTCTTGTAAATTGTTAAATTTCTGACCAACAGTTTTCTGTATCAGAATTAAAAATGAAGAATTACAGAAAGTTATTTTGTTCTACTTCAAAAGTTCTACTTTGCAACTTCTTTGGCAAGACTTATTATTTTTACATTTCCAAACTCTTATCCTGTTGTTTTTCATTCCCTTTTCTATTTCTTTAACTTTTTTCTTTACAGAGCAATCTCCTACGTCTTTCCATCCTCAGGATTTCCCTGTTTTCTTTTATTTTATTTGATGTTATAATCTCCTCTTAAGTTCACATAATGACTCAAGCCTTTTCTTCTTCCTTGTCTCTGTAGCTCAGTCTCTTTAACCGTCACATTTAACGTCTGAAAGGCAGTTAACTGTGTTAAAGAATATTGGAAACAGAGAGAGGGTTGAAACCAGAATAATAAAATCTCAGATGGAAACCACAGACTCGCTCAGCTTAATTTTTGTGATTTATGTGTCGCGGGCTGAGGCAACATATTCTTTTGTTATTTTTCCTCTCTCACAGGAAACCAGAGGGGGGAAGCTTCAGTCGGCTTTTCACTTCTTATTTACACTTCTCCTACAGTAATGCGTCAAAGAGCACGGATACAATTTACAACACGATCCATGTGAAGAAATCCTGCGAGATAATTCTCTCTGAGATGATGTTAGCTGTAATCTTTTCCCTCAGACTCCTCTGGACTAATCCCAGTGGAAAAAATAATGCCAGTGAAACTGAAATAATGTCAACATGGTGATTGATGAGTAACCCATTCATGCATTTAACTTGAAAAATGATTCGACACTCTGCTTTTGGGTAGGTGGGATGTCCCTCTTTCTATCCACCAATCTCTGCCTATTCTCCTCCATCTCTTGGTTTTTATTGCCTCTTAGTGAGTCTTCAAAGAGCCCAGAGCCTGTAATTAGGGGGCGGGCTCCCCGTGCCTCAAAACACTTCCCCGCGTTAGAGCCCAACTTCTCCCAAACTGTCCCGGGACTCAGAGCTTCTCCCACTCCACTCCGCTTCCTTAGGATTTTGTTTCTCAGGGATGGCCGCATCTATTCTGGAGGTAGGGAATGTGATTGTAAGTAGATTTTATATTTACTTTTTCCTCTTTCTGCATACAATCTCAACTTTTCTTATGTAAATGTTTGATTTAAATCTATGCAAATGTATGTTGAAGAAGGGAGTTTGGGAGGTCTGCAGGAAAATGTATGACTGAATATAAATGAGGATAATTTAACATATAGCTCACGTTGTAGAAGAAAGAGTTTAAGTCTTAATGGAAGCTGATTTAAAGAATCTTAAGGCTGAGCTGCTGACATCATTTAATAACTTTACTACTCAAATCTTAACCTCTGTTCATCTGAAAGTCTAGGATTTACATTCCCTCGAGGAGGAGTATTTAATCTAAGTGCAAAAGCAAAAAAAAGGAGCTATGTGGAACTCTACAGTTTCAGTTTATGGAGTGAGAGATTAGGAGGACAGCTGGCCTTACAGGGGTAATAAGTCTGTGATGAAACATTATTAACCTGAAAACTGGGCTGATCCCCAGGGGGCTTTTTGTAAGAGAAGGAGATAACCACTAATCACCTCTGAGGGGAGAGCCAGTGTGAAAGGGAAGTCTTCAAGCGGTGATAATATTTTAGCCAGTTTTCTACTAACACTTATTTAAAGTCAAAGACTCGTATTAAGAGAGATGTATTGCGCTTGGATTGAAAATACAACTTCACAAGATTTAAGTCTACAAATTGATCAAAACAATAATCTTTCATTGCTCCTACAGCAGGTAACATTCGATCATAAGCATAATTACTCTCTATTACAGATTGCAGAATCTCTGTTTAGTTTTATGTAAATGCTGTAAGAGTATTAGTGATTCTCATGAGTTGTTCATGCGTTCAGTATAAATGCTATGCAACGTGAAAAAGGGAATTCACAAAAAATCTAAATGGCTAAAACGTAAAATCATTAACTTTTTTAATTGGACTTTTAGATAGACAAAAGATGAAAAAGTTTTGTTTTCTAATAGGACACATATAATTTTATATCTATATGAACTTATTTTCAATCAAAAGATAAATCATTCAATATGATCAGCAGAGACAGAGTATTGTAAATCTAACAGAACAACAAGACTGCTGTGACACAATATACCATCAACTTATCAAACCTCTTTAATGCCAGAATGTGGAAATTTAGCCACAGTTTAAGTTGATAATGCAGCGCCTAAACATGATCGTACTATGTATATTTCTGTGCACTGGAGAAAAACTTTAAAGTATACATTCACGCTAAATTAAGAATATCTCTTCCTAGTGGTTTAAGTGAAACAAAAGAGCAGGGAATTCCTGCCTTGCTGAGCGGAGCAGATCCTTCACAAGAGTAAACATTCGCTGGCTGAAATTGCCCTGACCACCACTTTGAAAACAGAGAGAGCAGGAAAAGCCGGCGGTGGCACTCAGACAGAAGTTTTTTATTAGAGTTGACACTGACAGGAGCAACAGCAAGAAGCCATTTCCTGTAGACAGACAGTCTCATTTTCTCCCCTGTCTCCTCCTCCCCCAGGAAGACGCACGCTATGGCTCCAGTCCTCTGGCTATGTTAACTGCTACCTGTAACAAGTTTGGCAGCACAAGCCCCATCAGGGATTCGGCTACACCCGGTAAGCCCGGCAGCACAACTCCTGTAAAGAAGCCCTACAACATGACCTCTGATCTGCAGACTAAGAACGGGCGCACCGCAGACGGCAGCGGCCTGGCGGACTCCTACACTGGCTCCTTCACCACAGCTGGAGGAGGAGGCGGTGGGCTGCTTACCCCAACTGGAAGCCCCCCTCCTTCATCCGGAGGCTACCCTACAGAGTATAACCCCTTCTCCCACTCCTTCCAGACCTCTGTCTCCCAGGACCCGTCTCTTTTAGTGTCCAAGGCCCATGCTACGGCCGACTGTCTCACCAGCGTCTACACCTCCCTGGATATGACGCACCCATACGGCTCCTGGTATAAAGCCGGTATCCATCCTGGTATCACTGCTGCTCCTGCCAATGCCACGTCCTCCTGGTGGGACGTCCACCCAAACTCCAACTGGCTCTCAGCAACCCAGTCCCAGACAGATGGAGGTCTCCAGGCCTCGCTGCAGCCTGTAGCACCCCAGGCCTCCCTTAGCCCACAGTTGCCCAGTTACAGCACCGACTTTACACAACTAAACCCAACTCCGTACCCCTCTGTGGGGCTGGGCTCCTCCTCACACCTCCTCCAGTCCTCCCAGCACATGCTGCCCCAGGACATGTACAAGCCCAAGCCTGTGCAAAGTGCGGGACTGATTGAGAGTCCCATGGGCCTGAAGCCTGCCAGGGGATCAGGTGGGTACAGTGGAGGAGGTGCGCCCACCAGATCCTCATGTGACTGCCCCAACTGCCAGGAGCTTGAGCGGCTGGGGGCCTCGGCTGCCTCCCTGAGGAAGAAACCGGTCCATAGCTGCCACATCCCCGGCTGTGGGAAGGTCTACAACAAGGCCTCTCATCTGAAAGCCCATCTGCGCTGGCACACTGGCGAGCGGCCCTTTGTTTGCAACTGGCTGTTCTGTGGGAAACGCTTCACTCGCTCTGACGAACTGGAGAGGCACGTACGCACCCACACACGTGAGAAGAAGTTCACCTGTCTACTGTGCAACAAGCGTTTCACACGCAGCGACCACCTGTCCAAGCACCAGAAGACCCACGCTGATTCTGCAATGCAGGGAAAAGCTGCTGTGGAGGGGGACACAGATCCTCGCAGCGAAGAGACCACAGAGCTCAACACCAGCGCTGTCCAAACCAACCCTGTCGATGACCAAATCACCAACGGAGACGAGAAGACTGGCACGCCTAATGGAGTGGAGAACAGCAGCGGACTGTTGGAGATCTGACTTTGTTAAGTTTTCTTTTTGAGACATGGTGGGCTTTTTTGTTGTTGTTGTTGTCGACACAATTCAACCTTTAAACTTAAAAAGACAGTATTTGGTTTCAAGACATAAAAGGATTTCTGAGAGTTTGAAAAGAGTTGATATAATAAATGACTGACCATGTTGCAGGTAGCAATCACTTCATTTTCTCTGGACCACACACACAGACACACACACACACACACACACTAATACACAATGGCCTGCAAACAAATGTCTACATGTATGCAGGCAGAAAAATACACAAACAAAAATAAAACAAACCAAAGATGGGATGTTCATGCAAACATGTACACATACCCAAGCAAAGAAAACAACTATGAACAAATGTGCATGCGTAATGCATCCATGCATGCACACACACACACACACACACACACACACACAGAATGCCTGCACACTTCAAGCAAATACACAAATGCACACATTCATCCTACACACATTTTCTGCCTTTCAAATGAGACAAACCACTGGGGAAATTTAATCTGCAAAAGCAGAAGGAAAAGAGCTCTGAGCCGCAAAAGGAAAGTAGTTTTAAAAGGAGACTTATGGTCGGGATGATGGAGTTGATGGAGCATTGCATGTCTCGAGAAAAATCTGATTTACAGCTGTACTTTGATACTTCATTACTCTTGAAACAATCAACGGACAATCCTTCTTACTGCTTTATTGTTGCCAAAGACATTTTGATGTAATGGATTTTTTTTTCAGTTCTCTTTTGTTTGCTGTTTGCTTCGTACAATGTCTAATTTAATTTCATATTTACATAAATAATCTAATTTATGTCTTAAATTATACACGTGGAAGATTATCTTGCACCCTGCAGGAAATATATAAAGCCTGAAAAAGTACGCAAGATGGTTGAAGCTGGCCAAAAAGAAAAGAAAATGCATTAAATTAAGTTTTTTTTCTCTCTCGTATTTATTAGTTATAAATGTGGAGTTTTTGGGCAATGTTTTAAAAGATTTATTTAAAGATCTTGAAGTTTGTTTGATGTGTAAACTATTGCTATATAATCTTTTAATTGTGAAGACTTCCACACCTGGCAGAGTAATGGTTGATAAGGGCTTCTCCTTGTTTGTACATACTATCTATACAATTTATAGATATTGCTGGGTGTGTTATTTTTCTACTGTTTTTATGTATTTTTCTGTATTTGGTGTTACTTTCTATGATGAAACAGATCTCTATAAAAACATCATGTAAGCGACAGACACAGAGAAGCTGAATTTGTTGCTTTGAACTACGATGTGAGCTGATTCATTGTGACATGAGTGTGTCAGATACTGTAAATAATGATGAGGCACAAAACCTCTTAAAGGTGAACGTGTTGTAAAAAGTAAAGGTGTGAAATCATGACAGTTCTGGTGCTTTGAAAAGTAAAGAAATATAAAAAGCATCTTTTTCTGCTGGTGTTATTTTGTTATAAAAGTTTAAGAGTCAAAAGAGTAGTTCCTTCAGCATAGAAGCTTAACGCTCCTCTCCTCAATTCTTTTCATATCTTACTATATTTCCACCTCACCGTGGCCAACCAAATACTTTCATTATCTTTTGCAGCACAAACAAAGCCGGCCACTGAAGTGAGGTCTTAACTGCACACAATGACCCCCTTTGAGAGAGCCACTGTAGTTACACTCAAGACAATTACTCCGCTCTCCAGCCTGAGAGGGGTAATTACTGCGAGCGATGCTCCAGCAGAGTCAGAGCAGAGGAGGAGAGGGGGATTAGGACAGGGGCGCTACGGTTTTATTGTTTATTGAGGGAGGCGGTCAAACAAAGGAGGCCAATTAAGGTGGGACGCAGGACGACGGACATGATGTGGAGATACTAATGAAGAAGAGCCCACCAAAAAAATCCTTTATTTTAGCCTCTGCTGCAACTGTAGATGTCTTTTTCTGTGTTTGTGTGAGAGTTTAAGTCGCGTAAAGTGGCACTTGTGTGTCTTACAGGTCAGTCAGGGTAAACTGCAGACTAATAAAAATACTTGAGTTGGGTGGACTCTGCATCAAAAGAGATATAGCCTCAGGAAAGAGTAAAGGAAGCGTATGATAGATGTGTTGTGAGGGAAAAGGGCAAGACAAAGAACTAATCAAAGAGTAAATCTATATTATCTGCTAAAAGGTGATGAGAAGGTTATATTTGTTATACTATCTGTTGTTTGAAATAAACTCTATCAAAAAACTTTTTGAATAGTCACCCACAATATTTGTCTCAACTGCATAACTTTGCAAGTCTTTTCAATAACTTTTAAGGCCTTCCTGTTTTATTTTGATGGATTTGTGAAGCACTTTGTTACTTGGAAGTTAAGAAGGTTGATATATTACGATTGTAATCATTATTTGAAGTCTGCGAAAAGGAAAAACACAATGCATAACAACATTCTGAATTTAAAAATAAGCAGTGTCTTCACTAAATTGAGGACCTGTACATCTTGAACCTGCCCATCCTGTTGTAACGTTTACACTTCCCAGGCAGCATGGTTCCAATTTAGAACTTCTAATGAGCTGTAGTTGAGGTCAATTTATATAAAACGTCCCGGGGCCGACTCTGTCATCAGGGCCCCGACATGTTTATGGTGGTCTGAAGTGGGCGCACAGTCGAGTCCACAACATAAAAGGCAAACAGGGGGGGACGGGGTATGGGCAGGGTGTGTCAGTCAGGAGGGTGGGGGGGTTGAGAAGATGGTCAGTGGCTTTTAAACCTCTGCTGCTACTGCTCATTTTCTGCTCTCTTTTAAAGCAGCTGTGGTGGAAATGTGACTTTATTTTTACTTCTTTTTTTTTTTTTAAAGCCAGGAAACATTAAGTGTCGCTTCAAATAAAGTCATAAAAAAAAGGAAAAATATACATTCATTGACACACTCAGGGCAGAGGGAAAAGCTGAACAAATTGGTTCCAGATGCTTTGCCTACTCGTGCCCCTGTACTCCGTTTACAGAATCAGACTTGTTAGAGGATCCCAGAGACACCTGTTTAAAACATCACGCAGCCCATTTCAGACCTTACTAACACAAAGAAACAATTTAAAAACAGTCACTCAAGCAGTCTTTGGATTAATAATAACACTTGATGAGCTACATAAACTACTTAATGAACTTCTCCTGGGATTATGAGATTCCTGCTGTTTCATGCGAATGAGCAGATCATCATGATGTGCTGAACAAATGCTAATGAACCTCCTCTTCCTGTTATTATCTGCTCCTCAGTGAATAGGCAAGTAAAACAATGGACTGTGCTCCGACATAGCCACAGGCAGGGTAGTTTGAGGGGGTTGTGGGAGGAATAAAGGAGGACAAAAGCACAGGTGTCTGCAGGTGTGACGGTGGCAGAAAGAGGGGGGGAGAAAGGGAAAAGAATGTCAGCACGCCCAGAGGCTCAGCAGTCAGACTGTAAGGAAAAACAAGATAAGGCTTTAAGCAAAGTGGAAAGGCCTGAGTGAACCATAACATGACCTAAAGAGCAGAGGAGGTCAGGCTGTATAAAACAGAGGATAAAGAGGAAAACATAAGAGATAAGAAAGGGCAAAAGGTAAAAAGGTTGGGTGATCTTACAGATGTCTGTTGTCTCTTTGCTTATCATTCTGAGCCATCACTTTCAGAATGGAAACAGCAGCATGTTTCAAAAGAGCACATACAAGCATATACTCCTGGAAATGTTCTAAAACATTTTTGACACTTTGACGTTTTTCATATAAAAGCTACTTGTAATTAGAAGTATTCACAGTATCTACGAACAAGTGGAATAGAGCATACTGGCAAGCACACGTGTATGAAGCTGCTTCACTACACGCATGATGATCGCACCAGTAGCGTGATGTAAATGTCAATACCCCGGCCTGCTTGCTCGAGGTATATCTTCTTGAATATTACATGCTGCGTTTACAAGTTGGCTCACCTGACTTTACAGGAATGTTTTTCTAGGGGGGCTACCATTACATCCGGGTGAAAATCAGTGAAAAAATCCAGCCATTTGCATTCTCTCATGTAGCTCACCCTGAAAATTTAGAATGTTGTAGGAGTTTAGTACATGTGTGAAAACAGCTAAGGATGAAATAACTATAGATGTGAGGGATTTTCTTCACTTATTTCATAAGCTCAGTATTTATGGCTTAGCTACTTGCTTCTTGCAGCACTACTTTCCATCTCCCCTCCCTGGATCATTTTAACATCGCTGATGGAGGTTAACCCCCCCCCCCCGCTCACATTTAAGAAAACAAACACAAAACTGAGTGCCCTCATGCATTACTTTTATATTTCCATTTCTCACTATACATGGTTGAAGCTTGTTCCATAGCAGTGCCTTTAAAGTTTAAAAGGAGTCCTCCCTTGCTGCCCGATGCACCAAATGTTGCACTAAATGAGGCCATTTTGTTTATAGAAAGTGTGGGAGGGTTGTGGGTGACTCTGTGCCCCTTTAAAACGATATTATGCTTCCCATTAAATGGCCTCCGGATGACAAATTGCTTCCAAGGAGAAATTAAGTTAAGAAAATCGCATGTGTGACACATAAAGACGCGTCCACTGTACTTAAAATCATTGACATCCATAAATAAATTATACACAGCTACACAGCAGTAGGTGCAGTAAGGATATTTCTGCACGGCCACATTAAAGGCATAAATCAAATACTTTCATTGGCTTTTTTAATGATCACGAGTATTTGTCATCATGCAACGTTAATTGCCATTAATTAGCAGGACACATAATTAATTTAGGAACTTAAGGAGCTCTTCAGTACAAGTATTAACAGGAACCGACAAGGGGAACAGGCATCTGGCTACTGGTTAAGGTTGGAAAAAAACAAATTATATCCTAGTACCATTACAACTATAAAGCCTTAAACTGTTCTTTCCTTTTGAAAATGCTTACTATCTTGATTAAACTCTGACTGACAGGAAGCCCAAACCATTTGTGCTTGCTTTTTTTTTTTTTTTTTTACTTAAAGCCATTTAATACTTCCTTGGAAC